CTGCTGGCTGCTGTTCAGTTTGCTGTCTGTCAAGACTTTCCCATATTTTCAGCATAAATGTCCCCCAGTCAGCAAGTTCCCAACTTTCATATGTTCAATCTGGCTTACACTATATCATAGACTAGCTGTTTTTCTAGAAGGTATAAGTTAACATTGCCAAGCATGTCTCTTACAAATAAGGATCTTTATTCTGTTTTGACATGGTAGTCAGCTAGCACATCCCAGTGAAAGAGCCAGAGCTGACACACAGACATAGGAAGACTGAAAATATAGGACACAAACAGTGCAAGCAATGATGGGCTGGATGGAGTGGTCAAATACTAGCAGCTTTGGACCGCATTCCCTTTTCACTGGTGGACACAACACTAAACAGAGTCAGCACAGGCAAGATGCATGCAGAATAACATCAGTTGTGGCTACAGTATGTTCTGTATCAAATCTTTCATTTTTTCCCCAATTCTGCCTTTATCACTTTATGTGCTAGACAACAAGCTTTGACATATAGGTGAAAGTATTGGTTGAGGTAGACAGGTACTCCTTCCACACTCACATTTAGTCCTAGGCGTATGCTTACCTAGAGCACAAGATCTGTACTTTCAAAATATATCCTGATTTTGTGTCCTGCATCGGACTGGCATACAGTGGTCTGCAGCCAGACCACCTGTGTAATCCTAATCTATGGATGCAAATGTGACAGTGGACATCAGACATTCTCAGTGACGTGGAGAAAATTAATTGAAAACTGTTCACTCTCTCCCCTTATTCTCCCCTCTAGGTCTGAGTCTTCACTATGGAAAAAGACAATGCTCTATAAAAACTGAAGCACTGTTGCATTTAATTGTCTAAAAGGCAAGTTTGCTGGAAATGCTTTGGACATAACTTACAATGATGAGAAGCATGACAGAAGAATGTTGCCTGAAACCACAGGTTAATAAAGTATACTGCTGTTCAAGTAGAGAAATCATTCATGTCTTTATTCCTACAGTCAAATAAAATGAAAAGAATACATTTCCATGAGGGTGGTATAGTTTAGCAAAAATTTACGTGTAAGCTGGTCAAAATATTTTTTCCATTAACTAATGTCACAAAAATTTTGAAACTTTTTTTTAAATTATAATGTTTTTTAAATTATAGATGAAAGTTGGAAGAGTCAACTTTTACCTCACAAGATTACTGTTACCTGTATTATCCTGCTCTACATTAGGAGGTCTCTCTAATTCTATCTGGTTTGTGTTGAACAAAAATGTTGACACCTTGATCTTGACAGCTCATTTTCTGCCATCACCATGCTATTTAACTGTTTAGAGCTTCTCCTCCTTTAATAATACTGCCAAACAGCAAGTAGCCAGCTACCAGAGCTGTTGGTGTGATGACATACAAAACATGATTTATTCAGAGTCAAACTCTCCATTCATTCAGGTTGATTCTTTTTGCATCCACTGCCAACACATTCAGCCATATTTATTTTAGCTGAGCTACACTCAAACGGGGAGTAATAACTTAGTTCCTTTATTGGAATATATGTAGGAATTTTGGCATATCTCCTTTTATAAGATTTACAGTAAAATGCTTCTCATTTATACAGCTGTAGTTCTGACCTGTGTTTTAAGGATAGTGCCACCTCTGTTAATAATTCCTCTTTTCCGTGCACTTCGTATGCTGGAACAAATTTAGTTTAATAGAAAACTGACTGAAGAGCAAATATGCATACATGATTGTAGAAATATAGCCATGACAGCTGCCCCGCTAGCAATCTGGGACCTGTTTCATAATTGTAACATGCTACAGGGATGCTGTTGGGTACACCAGTACTCTGTGCAGCAACACTTCTGCCTTCAGACAGCTGCAAAGGCTGCCTGGTGGAATCCTATTGTAGGACAGCAGCCAAATCTGCTAAACAGTAAAAAAAGTGCTAGGGCACTCTACCACTCCATGGAAGAGTTCAGAGTTCCCAAATGAATCTTAATGTATTTCAGGAGATTTTGTATAGAACCTTGTGTAGAGGTTCTTATGTAGAGGTTCAATAAAAAAAAAAAAGTCAGTTGAATTCTGCCAGGTGATTATCTTGCTCTCTGATGCATTGCTGAATCATATTAAATGCAGCAGTTTTTAATTGAGCATGTACGCTTCCCAAAAGCATAGTAAAACAATCTCTCCAAGTCTAGGCTACTTTCATGAAGTTGATGCCCTTACTAATAGTCCTATGCTACACTACAAATATAGCCCTACTACAATATAATGCAGATACCTGATACAGATTTTGGATGTGCTAAAAGCACAAGCTGCCCCAAGACCATTACTGGAAACTCAGCAAACTCACCTGGATATTTCAGGGTAAGAATGCAGCAAGAGGGCTAGAGCATTGTAAGTATTCTTGACAGGATACCTATTTTTAAAAGGTAGATAGGAACTAATAGTTTTAGAAACGTTGGACATTACTCCTGGTCATAGGAACAAGACTCCATGTGTCCACACTGAATGTACTTTCCAGTCTGGAAGTGTGCCCTGAAATTCAGCTAATCACATGACAACCTACATCAAATTTCCCTCAGCGGTTTTGGTAAAGTTTTCATCTACTAAAAATCTCATTAGGGAAGATAAGCAATGCAGTGACTACACGTAACACACTAGTCTTATCCAGTAATTTTCCGTATAATTACATCACAGTGGTGCTTAAATAATCATTACTATGGTTTAATACTTCTCATCTATTTTATCTGTTGATAAGTTTATTTAATATTTGAAAGTGCTTTAAGATTTCCTGAAGGAAAGAACTGAAGAAAAAAAAAAAAACTTCTTAGTTCTCCTCTTCTGGAAGTATAAAAAGATAAGGTTACCCTTGAGTCTGCCGTACAGCAGGACATGTGATCACTGTGCACAACCAGTGGAGAATGGAGGACTTTATACTGAGTTCACTTGAGTATTGACTCACTTCTGAAAAGTGGCACTTAGCACCTGAAGCTTAAATAAGTAAATAAAAATCAACCTACAGATAGTCTTTTACATTTAAGCTTTTGTTTCCAAGAAAAAAGTAGCTTGATCTTTAGAAGGTACTGAGCTTATAGAAAGCATCCACTGATTTTAAGATGGACCCACAGGAAGGCCAACAATTTTGAGACAGTGAATCATCAGTCTTCAAATAAGGACTTAAGGAATTAAATTAGTCATTAAATAAGAGACCAGATATCTATTTACTCTCTAATTATAGGAATCTAGGTCAAGATTTTCAGAAAGTACAAAGCCAGATGTTAGATGAATAGAATTCCAGTTTATTTGCATCATTTAATCGAACCATCACAAGGTGCCCACGCCTGAACTAATTTCATAAACCTACCGCTATAATTTGTACCATTGCTGACCCTATTCCTATGTTACCATTGCTAGTGTAGCCTCTGAATAAAACCACACTAACCTCTTCAGAGTACTCATCTCTACATAAGAATTGTAAAAATGCATCGAGTACAGCAGAAATAAAATAACATGACTTTTATTGGTAATTAGTTTCAGCAATGTAGAAATTGCCCTAATTAACAGGGACCTGATAGCTGTAAGAAAACAGAGCAATTTAACCAGTCCCATGACTTAACCATTCTGAATCTTAGAGCCTCTATCACCTAGGTTATGCAGGTACTTCTGCCACTGATACGGATACCCAAATTGGTTTCTAAGCCTTTTTGTAAAAGGACAAGGACAAATAGGATTGCATGCATTAAATAAATAAATAAATGTGCTCATTATAATCAAGAGAAAAGGAAAAGAACAGTAAGAAAGTGATTATTTCTCTGAGTCCATCTTAAGAGTTAATATGCATTCCCAACAAAGTATCTTTGGACTTGAGACCTATTTACATTGAGCATCACTTATATATTCAGATATCAAAATAGAGACACAAGAGTCTAACACCTAGAACAAAATCAGGATATTGACAGAAGTTCTACAAGGCTCTCATACCTCTTCACCCAGAGACAAGTCTGGCCCTTCAGTGCAAGAAGTGGTATATAATATATCTGACCCTCCATCACCTTCACTACAACCTTGCTTATCCCAACTCTGTAGATTCAGATTCTCATTCATTTTTCTGCCTGGCCCTCCCCAGATTTTTAATCAGGTTGTGCCTCTAGCCTCCGCTTTGATTTCACGCCACTGTCCTCCCCTTCCTTTTCTATCTTTCTGGCTTCCTCCACTCACAAATGTTCCAATATGACACAGGTTTTGCTCGTGTGTTATGATAAATAATACCAATCAAGGACCAGATGCCTCATTCAGGGACTTGTGCAAACACAGGATCAGTGCATTCCAGATGGGTAGAACTGTTTGTTTTACCTCCAGGAGCCAGTGTCTGGACACTGTGCCACCCACTGTTCCGTGCCCTGAAAGCAGTGAATGAGTTAAAATGAACAATGAATAATTTTACACAGAAACCACCAGGAATGTGTATTCCTACTGGTTTGTCTTTTTGGCTACATTTGCCTTTTGAGAATACCAGTTGGGAAAATTGTTTAGAACTCAGACACAGGGAACAATAAAACCGCTAAACTAAACTGCTAGAAAGTCAGTGCGTAGATGGAACACGTTACAGCTGTGTCAAGGAAAAGCTGGGTAGCACAGCACAAGAGAAACTCAGGAGGGTTCCAGAGTTGTGATCGAGTGGACATTTGGAACATAGAGCAAGCTGCTTCTTCATAGCTATTCCTTCTTAGAAAAGGAAACGCACGCCTTTCTGATAATCACTTTGTGTTATCTCACTGCTGTGAAAATATTTCCAAAAGACTAAGTGAGACCTAGTAGCATTATAACTGTAACCAGAACAATTATACCAGATTTAGAGAAACAAATATAATAGAAAAATCTTCAGTTAACTAAATAATTTAAAAACAAACTAATAAATCCAACACTATTTCTCCTGTAAATGCCATTCAGCTTGCTTTTCCCCCCTCCCTCTGTCCCCAAAGAGCAAAAACCTACTGTATAATGCCTTCTGAAGGCTGTCTGCCTGCTATCCTTACTGCCCACCTACCGTAGGGAGCAGCTCCTCCCACCTGCACATAAAAGCCAAGTGCATGCTACCAGCAGCTGATCAGAGCACTTTCTCAGTCCTCCACTGTTTTGAACCAGTGATCTTCTCTCCTTGGATCTTGTACACTCAAGGTAAGATTACTGCTACTTCAGGTTTCTGTTCTAACCAGCTGTTGCAAGGAAGCCTTAACGTGAACTCTAGCACTGCCTTGCTGGGTGGTGCTGGCAGGGTGTTTTTTTGTTTTTTTTTTTTAGATGGAGTGTCATCTGACAGTTAAGTTAGTAACAATCTGTTGTTTTAGCAATGAAATAAAAACAGATCTTGCTGGGAAACATTGTGTGGCTGAGAAATTGTCTTCTTTCCCTTTCTGATATATTTTGAAGAGGTTAGTATATCCAGACCAATTCTAACAGTTTATTATCCCTCTTAATAATCTTCTCAGTCCAAAGCTAGCAAAAAAAAGTACACTTTAAAGCTGCCTTTAGTTCAGTTTGAAAAAAAAATGCTTAATGCTAACTCATAGTGCTAACTCAAGGAGGAATTTTTTTTAATTATTATTATTACTATTGTAATTTACAAGATAGATGGAGCCAGTCTTGAGACTGAAGTGCATCTTCACAGATTTCACTGCCTTAAAAAAAAAAAAAAAAAAGGCATAATTGAACTTACGCCCTCACAGAAGCACAATAAGAAAGCTGATGGAGTTCACTGTCTGGTACGAAATATGCTTAAAGTACACATTTCACAAGCAAAATCCTGTTTCTTGGAACAATAGACTTTGTATGTCTGTGAAATCTGTAGATCAGCCTGAAGTATGTTTTACCAAGTTTGCCTATATAGGCATTTCTAATGCTACAGGAAGGAGAAGTTAAGTATCTCATGCAGACAGCTGCTGAATAGTTGAAACATTCAAATCTAAGTGCTTTCAAAACTATGTTTGTACTCCCCTCTATTCCTCTATCCATCCTCACAGAGACAAATCTATTAGTGACTAGTACCAGTCTCTTATTTTGTGTGAGTCAAAGCACTTTAAGCACACAGTCACCTGTTTAAAGAAACTCCATCTCCATCACAGAAATCCCAATCCTAGATTGCCACTTTCCAGTGCTCAGAGATGAGGGAGAGAGCATGAACTACCAAATGCAAGCAGTGAATGCTGACTGTAAATAGTTTGTTTATACTGTAATACATGTTGCAGTTAAAAAGGGATGTTTTCTTATTGAAAGAAAAATAATTCTCTTTCTAAATTGACTCTGTTGCTCTTTCCCCAAATAAGTCTTTTCTAAATAAGAGTTATGTCCACACAACTGTAGCCACATTAGCTGCAACATTTTAAGCTATAACTCTGTAGAGCATCAGCAGAACTCTGCTCAAAATGCCCTTTTCTAGATGCTCTGAGGTTTGCTTGTTTGTTTTCCTGTATTTTATATGTTACTTGTTGTATCTAATGGAGAAAAAACAAACATTGCCTTCAGCTATTTGCCTGGAAGATTACATAAGTATCTTTAAAAAAGAAAAGTAACTCTTCAAAAACAAAGTACAGTACTTTCTATAGTAGGCTTACAGTAAAACTATAATTGCATCCAGGTAATCCATGTAAGTTGTCCATAGAAGAAGTGTGAAAAAACAATAGGCTCTACTCCTATAACAGACATTCTGTCTCTGAGCTACAAAATTTGACTGTTTAGTTAACATCAGACTTTTATAGCAAATCTCCCTTCCCCCTCCAAATCAAAGAACTCCTCTTGCAAAGTACAGATATGTGATTTTTAAGGGCAAAGCATACAAAATTTATGTCTAAAATCTGGCAGTAAAGCCTCATTACTGATACAGAATTTTACTCCATCAGATATATCAGTTTCTAACAGTGCAATTTTCAATATGAAAACTTCAAAAAAATGTATTTGCCACAAGAAAATATATATAGCAAAATATCTTTTATTAAAGCCTGCTGTGAAATGTAGCATTTTGGCATTTCAAAAATGGATTGCAGGGCATATTAAGAAAATTCTGTTGAAAGGAATGTGTCTAATTTAGATCAGAATCTCCTCTGAGCAGTTTCTCTTAGGCTGAAGATAATTCAGTTGAGCATCACTCTGCAGCAGGGGATGAAGGGAAACTGCAAGCAGAATGCCTCACAGAGAACTTAAAACGCCTAGAAACGCCTTTATTGACCTATGTGCTGACCTGAAATTCCTTTTTTACAAAACGTACTGATATTAAGATAAAAAATACTATCACTTTAAAATATTGCTATAACCATAATAAAAAAAAAATGGTGAGTCAATAAGAGAAAATCAATGAGAGCAGAAGGAATTTGGATTTTTTGAGGAATAACCGTAATATTTTAGAATAACGAAGTAAAGGTAATGAGATTATATTATTCTTTCAGCCATAGACCAGTGAAGTGTTAAGCAGGCATGTTTAGCCGCTTCTCTTCGTGGTTGCACTTGTGGTTTTGTTTAAGGTGTTCATTTAGGGTATAAACGCCCAGTGAAACTACTAGAATAATTGCCACTGATGTTAAAAGTGCTAGACTAGATATGTAGAAAAGGTATAACTGTACTAGGTTCAGGACAAATTTATCACTGACTACTTACTCAGTGGCCTGCCATTACCACTGACTGAGAAACACTGCAGTCTTCATGAATTTATTTTCACCACCTCTTTGTGAGGCAGATATGTGTTTCCTCTGGCCATTCTGATACTAAACACATGGACTGGTTTTGCTTATGGTCACAGTGAAAATTCATTGCAGAACAGAGAGTCAGATTTAGCTCTTCTAAGTTCCAGTCCAGCACTTTAATCCCAAACTTCATTTCATATTCAGCCTTATAAAATTCATCCCTTCGCAGCTGATCTGTCTTGGTATGACTCCTTAGGGCTGAACAGCAGGGAGAATTTCAGTGTAAATTCTTGAGAGAATCTAATTCACTCTTAACACTTCGGAACTTCCTTTGAAATCATTTAAAAACCCCTAACGGGACTTGAAACTAATTCTTGGAGGGGAAAGCAAATAAATAAATAATCAAATGACACCCCTTTCTTACCCTCTGTGGTTAGCTGAGACTAACGCAATCTTGTCAGAATGAGCAAGCACAGATCTACTGCCATGGACCAGAAACAACAGGCAACACCTAACCGTAAGAGCTCAATCTTGGTAAGACGAGAGTGGTCTTATGAATACTGCATTATCAAGAAAAATCAATGTGTTGATGCTTGATGCAGAAGATTAGCAAGAATGATAAGGACTAGAAAAAGAATAATTAATGGTTATATGTTCTGCTGCAGGTGGTGATGATTGTCGTATGTACAAAAGCACACCTCCAAGAGTATTTTCAGCCCAGTTGTTCTATGTCTTCCTATACAACCCAGGGCAGGAAAGATTATATCTTTATCCCTGAAGCTTAAATATACCCTCATATATTGCCTTACTCTTTTGACTTTCCGGTTATCCTACTGCACTAGGTTCCTTCCTTCCACAGGGAGATAACTTAATTTTCACTAGCGTCATGTTTGTAAAAAAGCAACGGTTCAATGGAGTTACTGTACCAAGGAACAATAAAGACAAAAACAGAGGTGGTTTGATCCATCTTTGATTAAAACCAACAAATATCCATATTTAACTGAACAGAAGTTACTCTTACCTCTTCACTTACACAAAACCCTAACTATTATATGTTTCCTTTCTATGGCCTTTCCTTCATAAGAAAGTGAGATTATTTTTTGTGCTAAGAGAATGCTGCTTCAGCAAAAGTCATGGAGCTGTGAGTTTAAAAAGATAATGATGAGTCCTGGTTCTGAAGCCTTTTGTGGGTCTTGTGCAATAACTGTGCCTATTCTCTGTACACATCAGTAAACAATTGTGCTTGGTCTCCCCATACTCCTGAAATGTTGGATGTGTTTCTGTAATTGTCTTGATGTGTAATGAATTTAATGTCTCATAACTGCACTGCAGGGGATTAATACCACTATGCAGTCTAGGGACATCTTTTGATGATTAAAACTTCTTCATGCAAAGCCACGTTTCATACCAAAAGCAAGATGAATACAAGCCTGTTGCTTCTTGAATGGCAGGTGAAATTGTTGAGGGGTGATACGTAATGGAGTGAGTGAGAATCAGTGCCCTCTTTTGGTTAGAAAAAAATATATAAAGGAGCCCTATGAGAGTGTTTATCAGTTCCCTCTGCTGGCTACAAAGCCCACAGCCAGATGAGCAGCTGTGTTTGCGGAGGCGAAGGTCTTAAGTTCTATTCCCAGTGCTGTGTGCAAGCGGTAAACTGATGACTGTGGTGTCTGTGCACGTATGTGGACATTGTTACTCGCGGGGTCGCATTAGTAACTACACTGAGTTCAACATGAGGGCACTCAAAAATAATACGGAGTTCCTGGGAGGTAAGAAACTTTCCACTTAAGATTTCAGAAGCATGCTAGCAGCTACGCCATTCATAATATCACACAGCAAGAGCATCCTTCTGGTATGCATCATATGCCACACTCATTTGAACACCTTGCTTTTTCTGCCTCTTCAAGAGGAGTTTACCTATGTTCACTATATTTAGTCTAGAGGTGTCTGGCCTGTTACCACAAATGCTCATAGCAATCCCAAATTACAACACTTCTGAAGGTCAGCTTCTGAGAACACCACATTTGCCAAAAAGAAATAAATGGTACCAACAAGACCACCTAAAACAAAACAAAACCAAAAATAACCTAAATAGATCTTTTCCATTCTTTTAAGGAAAGGCCTGTTTAATCTGGTTATGCAACTGGAGAAACAGGTCACGTAATTTATGCAGCTACTCTGAAACAAAGTTGAGATGAAAAAAAATAAATATATATATATATATACACTGCTAACTTAAGAGATGATTTTTATTTTAAATAAACATCCATAGCACTAACAATGAAGAACTCCTAAGTCAGGTATCCCAGTTCACTTCAACCCCTAGAAATCTATCACAGCAACATATAGGATACACAAAACCTATCCTACTAAAGGCAGAATGAGTCAGAACTGACAGCCTGATGTACTAGAAAACGAAAGTATATTAAAGTCAGATTTTTTAAACATCTGCAGCAGTTTCCTGATAACTAAAAAAGCAGATACTCTTTCTAGACCAATACTGTATTCTTGTCTCTGAAGGGAAAGAAGTAGGCAGAAGTACACTGTAGACTTGCACGGGGACCTTCAAGCAAAGCATTTGACCATTTAAAGTTCCAGAGAGCAAACCAAGGTTCTAACAAAACCCAGTGTTCAGAGGTGAAGCAACAAGACATACATAATACAGCACAGTCACTGAAATGGAAATGCTTACATTGTCTCCCTTGTACTCAGTATAATTTTCAAGGGGACAGAACTGATGGTGGCACAGTCCCAGGGACGCTCAAACCAAATACAGTCAACTTACCGCTGAAGAAATCTAGTAGTCAAGTCTGCTTATGCCAGCAAACAACTTACCTCCGTTCTGCCCTTCCATTCTTTCCACCACGTGTAGAGCTCCAGTGAATGCAGAATATCAGAACAAGGATCTTTTATTTGGCTCAGAGACCAGAATTTTTCTTTCAGCTTGCCTTAAAAAAAAAAAAAAAAAAAAAAAAAAGGAAAAGAAAACGTTCAGATTTTTTCCCAGTACTTCTTTGTAAATGAATAAGGTGATCCTAGTCCAACTCTTAGCTGATGGACATTAATATAAAACACACAACTGGGACCCCTGTTGGCAAATCTAAGAAAAAAAGTCAAAAGGTAGTTAATTTAGGTCAAAGTTGAGAAATAAAAGCAGCCTTACAAGGGAAATTTATATTGCCAGTATTGATATCTGTCACCTGTACTACAGATAAAAAGCAAATAAGCTAAGAGTAGTTAAACAAATACAACCCACAAGCACTAACATGCACACAATACGTATTTTAGAAAATGAAGGAAAAAAGACAACACTCAGTACTTATTTCCTTTCAGTCAGTGGCTTGAATTGAATTTACCATAGTAGCACATCACATTGTTCGCTGCAGAAAAATGCAAAGCTTAGGCCTTTAGGAGTAAGTCTCTTGTGCTTTACTGGTTCCAAAAATGTCAGTGCTTGTCAAAGTGTTTTTGAAATAAAACCAAAACCATGTTAATAAAATGAACTTTCCAAGACAATGCTGGCCAAAACTGATTCTTAGATTTCTTTTCAGTAATAAACTGCCTCTGCGGTTGCTGAGCTGATAGGGAGGAGGATTTAAAGGGCCAAAGCCAAGTTCTGGTCAACTCAAAGAGGACAAAAAAATAAAAAGCTCTCAAACAGAGCACAAGCCCTCCAATGAATGGAAAGATTTTTGCTGAGGGTGGGCAGAGCTTAGCAAAATCCAGCTGTGCTTTCAAAAACATCTGTAATCATTATTAGGCTCCTCTTGAATGTATGTTGAGACTGGAATACTTATTGTGGGTACAATTTGTGATGTGATGCTGTACAAGACTCAGTACTTGTGTAATTCAGAATTCACAAGCTGAAACTCAAATCACAAGACCTATCCTGCCTGCTTATTAAATAGTAGTTCTCTATGTGAATTAACAAGGCAACAACTGGAAAGATTTTCTCCCATCCTATTCTGGCCTTCCTAATGAATAGTTCTAGAAATATGTTCCAATGAAAGATGAAGGTATTCGTGATGACCTGCGTTCCTACTGCTACAGAAGTCGCATGCAAGTCTGGGCAGTGAGATCTCAGCTGTTTTGCTGTACGCGCATACAGGTACACATGCTGCAGCAGCTTCTGTCTTCCATAGAAGCATCATGCCGCAGTTGGACACTGTGCCTGTTACAGGAATCCCTGCCCTGCTGTCCTGCAGATCCAACCAGAGCAGCTGACTTTAGGAGGCCTGTGCAGAGCAACAAAAGTTGCCATTACAGGGGTGATTTCTTAATCCCTGTTCTCAAAACCTCCTACAGACTATTATCTTTTGGTGATCTAAGCAAAAATTATTACATCGGGGAACATGGGAAGCGTTTTAGGGTTTGCTCCCTAAGCTTGTATTACCAGCCACAGCTAAGACCTTTGTACATGCTATCCTGGTAATAAAGAAGACTGTATGTTACCATCCAAACCCAATTCCTGATCAAAGATTCACCTACAGCACTAAAGTTTTTCATTTTGACCTGCTATAACATTATCAAATGGCTTTTAAGGTTTTGTTTGAAGGAAATCCGTTTTGCTCACCTGTCTTTTGTAGTGTCACCATCACTCACTGCCTTTTGGTTGGTCTGAAGCAACAAGTTGCAAATATTCAGTACCTAAAATCCAAACAACTGACTAGTTTTGGCACACAATTCTTACAGCATCTCTCTGTCCCACAGTCAAGGGCAAGATTACTCTTAGATTCAAACTGCAAGCACAAAAAACTGCCTTTCATTGAGCTCAGTATTCACTTGCAATGAATATTTTTTATTATTCTATTTTCAACATCACATCTGTCACTCGTATGCTGAATGCTCTCAAGAACTCAATACAAAAGGTCTGCGAAACACAAGCAAAACAAATTCAATTTGTGACTGCTCAGGGACATTTTCTATGCTACACTTGCTTTCAACTTTCTAACCGTTCATGTCATGAAAACAAGTATTTCAAAAAACAAATGAACAGAAGTCTATTATATTTTCAATGTTCATCATGCATACTGAGGGCTGGAATTTTAGCACGATAGCCAGTCACAACATCCATCCTCATCCTTCAAAACAACAGCCACATCAGGACACAGTTCCTCAGGCCTCCGCTCAGGGAGCCACAACCCTCCCTTGTTTCCTTGCTTCTCCTGCTCTGCCACCAAAGGTGACAGGGAGGAGTATTTTGGCCTGCTAACTCATGAAACAAATTTGAGGCCTTTAGAAGATGTGAAAGGTCATACCTGAGGCCCCAAAGCTGTCACGATGGCGGAGTTTTGTGTCAGCTGACTCAATTTAGTCACACTGTGGTGCAACATTGCTGTACTCCACTTTAAAAAAAAAAAATCTAAACAACTGAAAACAACAACAAAAAAATAGTGTTGTTTAAAATGCTGTAACAGGAGTGGCCAACAAGCACCACGCTGAACCTCCGAGCAGCTGCTCCACACTCCCACAGCAGCGGGGCACCACCATGGCTCCGCACTGCTCGGCGGCCATTAACCACCAGTAGTGGTCACCACACAGGCCTGGGGCAGCCCTCCCACACCAGGCCATGATATCGTCGGTGAGGCAGCAAAAGCTCACCCTCCATGGGCTATGTGAAGGGCCAGGCCACTGGCCCTGCTTTGGGACCCCTTGTCGGTCGGTCGAGACCCCACACATAGGTTTTGCACCTCCTGCCCCATGTTGTGGCGCTGCGGCTCGAGCTGCCTTCACGTCAGAACCATGTCTGCCCACAGGCGGTCAGGAAAGTGAGTTGGAGCCTGCGCCTCCCATTCCCCAAGGAGAGGCAAGGGCTGAGGAGCACAGAAACTCCCCGCAGCCCAGTCAGCTGAGGAGCATTTATGGAAACAATGCGTTTGAGGTTTCTTGGGTTTCGCAGATACAGCCTGGGGGCTTCACGTCTGCGTGCCAGCCCTCAGTGCCCCTTGGAGAAGGATCTGGGCAGCATTAGCTCGCACAGATGCTGACAGTGCTGGAAGGCCAAAAATAGGGGGGAGAGGGAGGGGTGAAGCTCCTCTGTCAGCTGGAAAGAAAATGTCGCATCCTGTGAGGAGGGGCTGCTCGGAAGGAGGAGGAAGGCTGCTCCAGCACACACGGCAGGAGGCACAGGACCTTTCAGATTTCTCCATCTGGAGGCAAATTGAGGCCACTGTGAACTTAACAGCAAAGATGATTAAAATGTCCATTTCAAATTCAAGGCTCTTTGGTGCTAAAACCAGAAAAAAAAAGCACCTGCCAAAAACATTCCTGCATATGGATATCTATTGAAAAGATTGGCTACTTTCTTTATAAGTTCAAATTTGAAGACTCCCAAATTCCTAAGAAACCACTAAACGCTTTGGTGGGATGTGAGAAAAGAATATCATGTGAGGAAAGAGTATGATAAAACTAGCATTCAACAGGCAGGGAGTTCAGAAGGCAAACAGCTGAACAGAGCAGCTTCATCATTTACTTCCGATGTATTTTCCCCACCTCATGTTTAGTGTAAAGGCTTTTCAGTGTGAGTCTTTTTCATCTGTTTGTTACATCCCCTATTATGGTAGAACCCTGACTCACAATTAGGGGTTTCACGCAAAATAAAGAGCAGCAGCTCCTGAACCTGACGAATTGAAAACTTTGCATACAGAAAAGCTGACTCCTAGACTCATGCTCCAGTCTGTTTAACACACTCCTGCTTACATAGATGACTGGTATGCCTGGAAAGATACTATACTACAAACGTTTCACCTCCCTCTCCTGCTGTAGAAGCATCCAAGAACATCACATACAGTAGATTAATGAATTTATCCTTACAAGCACCCTGGCAATGTCACTCTCATTTTAGAGGAAATTGAGGCACGGAGAAATTTGCTGGTGTAACATTTCAAGGGATTGCTGCTGGCCAGATTCTCAAGTGTCTTCCCATCGTGATGGGGGCTATTGGGAGAGCTTGGTTCCCACCAGGGCACCTAAATGAGAACCAGATTTTCAGGAGTGCTCAGCACCCAGTAGCTCTCGCATTGGCTCTTGCGGCCAAATTTTCTGAAAAGTTCCTTTGATCATCTGGCCACGGCCTCAGTGGAAGCAGAGCGCTTTTGAAAAATCTGATCCTGTTTGTGGGTGCTGAGCACTTTTCAAAATTCTTTCTTAAGTGACCAGGCCAAGGATGCAGACTAAAATCTGAACAGACCCCACTTTGCCTAATCCCTGGGCCAGTGATTTAACCACAGGCATATCCTTCCATCCTCAGCAAAGAAAGAATAGACACTAGTTGGGGCAGGAACCAAAATGCCAAACAGCTGCCAGTACTCATGCCTGCCAAGAAAAATGCCCAGATACCTGCGGGCAAACCAGACAGCCACATTTTGGTACCTTCCTGAGAAGGGATTATTTCTAGTAGCAGTGCCAGAGTCTGGCAACCTGGATTATGCTCTTTCCAGATGTACCTATTTTGTTCTGGAAATAAAACTCTTGTGAACATGCCCTCACACAGGCACACCCTCCCCGCTCTTCAGTAAAAACAGCAGCTATCCAAACACTGTACTGTCTCCATTATCCTTAGAGAGCCAGGCATGCTTGGGCAAGACAACAGTATTTTGTGTAATGATTAAGAAGCAGTGGTCGCGTCAGTGAAGATTCTTGTTTTCATTGAATATTTCATTCATTTCTGAACATAAGCAACCACTTAGCTACAGTTGTGCTAGATGCAGAGGAGGAAACACATGCTATTCTTGGCTGGACTATACCTCTGTGGTAAGCAGCAGCCTCCTTACAGGAGCCTCTGTAGGCTGCATGATTTAGCTACATAAGAGATTGTCCTAAGCCTCAAGCAAAGGCCTGCCGCTAGACTCTGAGCACCCCAAAAGGTGAGTGCAAAGAAAAAAAAAAAATCAGCTTGGATCCTTTGTCTTGTTCTGTTCACCTGAGGTCCTTCTGCAAACCAATGCTC